CACGACGGGATGTTTCAGATAATTTGGGACTGAGAAACTTTGTCTTGATAAACCGATTGCCAGAGAGGCAGAACATTAAGCACATTGTTATGAAATCTAAAACGAAGAACCTTGATCATCTATTCAAGTGGATGGCCGATGACATCATAAAATATGGAGTGGCTACAGAGCGTACAATAATCTATTGCAGTTCGTGCAAGATTGTCAGCGAATTGTACTCCACGTCCCTACACTACCTTCCCAAAACTTATCAGAAACTTGTGAATATGTTCCATACAAACACTGAGAGAGACGTGCAGGAGACAATTGTCAACAGCTTTTCAGATGCAGAAGGGGAGATAAGGTTGTTAATAGCAACAATTGCTTTAATACGGCATGGGAGTTGACTGCAAGGGACTTTGTCAAACTATTATTTTTGGCCGCACTTTAAACATGGAAGACCACATGCAAATGGGCGGAAGGATTGGGAAAGACAACACGCCCAGCATCGCAATTTCTTTGTTGTATCCTGGCGATAATGTAGGAAGGAGCACTTCACAGAGTATGGGCGACTTCTTGCAAGGAATTCGTTGTCGCAGGGAGATTATATGGGAGGAAGGCCTCTCTTGGTAAAGTGGAGGCAATTACTTCCAAAGACAAAGCCACTGTGCATTTCCTGAAGGGAAAAAAATGGCAAAGAAAGATATCCAGAATGTTGTAGATACATTTTGCACTTGTAAAGTGAATGTGCAACATGACATCGACAGGGATGAAATTGTTGTCACGGAGCAGTCTACTGAGACTTTTCTTTTTATTTGATAATTAAACCGAATAATTATCCATCATGCCTGCTGTCATGAAAGTTTGTGTTTGTGAGCCCTTCGAGTTGAGGACGAGGAGTGGGGGAGAACCGTTTATCCACGGCATAGTTTTAGAGTCCGGTGCTTCAGATATCAACCATGTATACTGCAACAACGTGAACTCAGATGTTGCTAGAGACCTACTTGCCCTAGAGCTGCGGGTGAAAGTAATATTTGCGAAGGCACCAAAACGATGTTTTCTAAAGCAAAGAAAAACGTAACATGTTCATATTTCAGAAGAATTCATCACAGCTGTTGATCACTATCTGTGAGCTCATTTCATCCATTTCACCTCATTTCTTCATCATCGATTCATCCAAATAAAGCCTGAAATAAAATCTGAATAAAATCTGAAAACAACTTGAAAAACACTGGGAAAGAAACCCAGAAATAATCAACTTCAAGAATATTAGGCGCATGCTACTGTGAATATGTACCAGTAAGTGTGCATTTATTATTTATTTTATGAAATTATCATTCATCATGCCATATGTATGTAAGACCTAGTTATGATATTCCGTTCTTGAGTTATCATACATTACATGTGTATGTAATTGACAAAAATAAATACAAATAGCGCTGATGAGGTCATCAGTGTTGGTTAAGGTTGATGAAGTCATATACTTCAGATATAAAAATGACACTGAAAATCACATCTACACTTCATGGGCCCATTCAAACTCCATAACAAGATTTTTTTTTTTTTTTTTTTTTTTTTTAAATCTTTCACTCGAACTCCTGTTTCCAAGAAGAGGTGACCTGTATTGTGCCCTCTTCCAAAAATGAAACTAAATCGTAGGCGTTGGTCATGTCAGTGGTTCCTGCCTGATAGCATGCAGTTTTGTACATGATGCTTCACGGTAAACACCTACATGTATTCTGACCAGCCTCTTCATTTCTTTTCAGAATTTATACCACTTACCCCTGGACCGTGGTAACATTTCTGACGACATTGCGAGGAGAGCAAATTACTTTTGCTGTTCGACCGAGCTTGGATGACCATGCACCAGTAGAAAGGTCTCTACGTGCTGGCAGATGACCTGACGTTGATTACTTCAATAGATTGAAGCCGTGATTTAGGAAAGCGTCTGATGATAGAAAACACATCACGCACATACAAAAGCTCAAAGAGGCTCTAGGGAAAAACATGGCTGCTCAAGAGCAAGGGAAACGAAACTCTGACAAACCATCAGTGAACTTCATCAATGAAAACAATGAAAATGATGAAATACTCCCCGAGATTGATTTTGAGCAGATTATGTGTTCCCAACTGTCAGACCCAATCCATAATTCAGACTATTTGCATACACTGACAGACAACAATGGGATTGCTGCCCCCAGACCCTTAACATTTCTAGTTTGTCATTTGGTATTTATCATTTCATAGAAAGTACATAATAATTTGTGTTGATATATCAATGTATGCTGTACATGATAAATGATAAATGATTTCTTGATTATTGTTTATTGCTCTGATAGTTTGCATCATTCAATGATAAAGCAAATTAGATGTCACAAATACATGTAGGTTATCTCACTGCTTGTTGAAACCTAGGCTTAGGACCAACTCGTGGCCACGGCACATCTGTGCACGGCGCGCGCGACGTAATATGTCGAGCTATCCGCGCTGCGCTGTGCCGAGCTAGCTATAGCCATGAAGAAAAAAATGTAAGCACATATATCATCTCTTTCAGCTAATACGAGCCATCCATTGTCGAGAAAGTCTGTTCGAGCTAAAATGGCTGAAGTTCCAGAGAACATATCGCGACAAATAAATCAAAACTCTCTCCTCTCTGTCCAATTTATTGGGTCTAACCCAAGTAGGTTCAAGAAGAGCGTTTGGGGGCAGCGGGGGCGGCGATATCGTACAGCACTAGTACTCCCCATCTTTTCATTAGAGATGACAGAATCTATTGAAATAAGAACTTTTTGAACTGACCCAGAACTCCACTTTGCCTTTAAAATCGTTTACAAATAACTAAAAGTGCAGGGAATAATTTTCCTCAAATATTTTGATTAGCAATTTCAGCTGATGGATAAATATTTCAAATGAAATTCTGTACATTTCTATGGAAGAAAACTGCTACACAAACAATATTTTGTATAGCAGTCATGCAAAAATGCATAGCAAATTGCGATGCGATACCAGGAAAATTATTCCCTGAAGTGTGTCATATATTTTGTGCTTTCAAGATTTGACCATGCACAATAGTTAGGAGGTAGATACATGTACTAAAGCCTCACATTCTTTTACAAAGACTTGCATGCCATAAGGAATCTGAGAATTTTATTTTAAACCTGAATGAATTAAGTTTGGTCGACTTAATTCAGTGCTTAATATGGTGCATATTGCTTAAATCACAAATCTATACGCAGCATATTGTTAAATTTTACCGAAACAGTGTTAATTTAAGGAGTATGGATGACTCTGAGAGAATTTAGAGACTATCTAGCCCTCTGTGGACAGCTAACCCCTTCTGTGACCCCTAGATTTGTAACAATGGTCATAAATAAATTTTCAAATGGCCAAATCTTGAATGATGGTGCATCGTATGGTATAAAATTTGGCCCGAAATGTCTTCATAATAAAGGTACCCATTACCTAGTCACAATGCAGCATTATACACTCCCCTTCTTGGACGCAACTTGCCGCCAAAGGAAAAGAAAATGTTAATGATGGTATACAATAAATTTGGCATAAAATGTCACTCAAATTAAAGGTACCCGTTTCTACTCCAAAAAGTTAGTTTCTATACAGCATGCCATGCTCAAATGATTTGCAGCTCTAGGGAAAAAAAGTAAGCCTGAGTCATTACGGTTTTTGTGCTAAACGGTTAACCGTTAAAAGTATACGGGCGGTTTCGTTTAACCGTTTAATAATAATAATCTGAAAAAGTGACAATACAGTATTTGTAATAGTGCTGTAGCTCGGAACCCTGCTGGTCTTCAGGCTGTCGGGCTGAGCATTCCCAGCCCCGGACTATGGCACAAATTGGGTCATCCTGATAAACAGAGACCAGTAATAAACAACATAAAACATGTCTTATTATTCCTCATCTGAATTTGATATCATGATTAACCTTGCAAAGTTACTCTGTGAAGATAGCTGATCTGTGACGTGTTTATATATGCCTTTGCAATGCAATGTTTGCACATGGTCAGGGAGAGAGCTCCCTGCATGTATCATTGCCATATAAAATTATGTGGAAGTGTGTATCACACACACCCAAGACACACCCTGCAATGAGCTGATCCAAGTTAGTGACCAATCAGGAAGGTTCTCTAGCTATGTGGGTGGAGTTTGATACCAGCATAAATTACAGGTTGGTGACCGCGCGTGCTTTCACCGTACCCAGTTCAGTGGGAGGTCAAGAAGCCACGCCCACATGTGTGCATGTGACAAGCATGAGCTCTCCATCTGTGTGTATGTACAGTGTATTTGGGCGCCGGAGGTTTGTGTGTACATGTGTGTGTGACTGAGAGAGCATGCATGGGCTAGCATGTCCCTGCATGTCCCTGCATGGACGAGGCAGGGACATGAGTGAAGAAGGAAGACAAGTGAGACTAGAAAGGGTGGCTGTGTTAATCGGCTGAATTGAAGAATGATCAAAAACTTAAATTACTCACAATATCCAAGACTTTGTTGATTGATATTTCTAAAACTTCAATTATTATTGTTATCAATATTCTTGTATTTTATTTATATATGAACATTATTTTAGGGGGCGAGTCGGCAAGGGATGGATATTAATATTGAGAGAGAGAGAGAGAGACTCGGGGGAGAAGGGATGTGAGAGGAACTGACCATCGAATGTGTAAACATTTAGAAAGTTGTGAGCTGAGAGTGCAGTAATAAGAAAAAGTACATGAGCGATGAACACATTGCAGAGAGAATAAAGAGGGTGAGAAAAGAGAGAAGGGGGCTGGTTGTTTTATTGTTTACAAATTCATTCATGGGGATTACTGCTGCCAGAAAGCTGGCGCGCAGCGGCCAGGGTGTAACATTACACTGCGGTTTCTTTGATTATCTTTATCATCGGCAATTAGCACATTCCAAAATGTATGCAAATAACGGTTAACCGGAGCGAGAAATGCTAAACGGTTTTGATGAATGCGGTCGGATAACCGTCGGTTAAACGGTTTGACTCAGGCCTAAAAAAAAGGTTTTCATAATGGCATACAATTTGACTTTTTAACATTTTACCCGTTCTTGTTTTCAGCAGGAAAAAAAAGCAGGTTGATGCTCAAACATCATTCCTTGGGTGTCATGAAGAATCCCTGAGGAATGGAAGAATGGCGTTCAGGAACTCGGCAGGTTTCTCAGAGTGGACCCAGTGACCGGCCCCCTCTATGGACGCAAAGCTGGCATTCGGGAAGAAGGTCTTGATCTCTGGGTAGTCTTCGGGTCTGGATTTCAGAGAGGGAGGGAGAGAAGGGGATAAAGAGAGAAAGGGGGGGGGGGGGAGAGGGAGAGAGAGAGAGAGAGAAAGAGGGGGAGAGAGAGAGATGATGGAAGGAAGGGAAGAGAGAGAAAAAGAGAGCGAGCAAGGAGAGAGAGAGAGAGAGAGAGAGAGAGAGAGAGGAGAGAGAGAGAAAGGAGGGAAGATGAAACGTGTAAAGAGAGGGAGAGAGAGAAAAGGAGGGAAGATGAAACGTGTAAAGAGAGGGAGAGAGAGAGAGAGAGGGAGAGAGAGAGAGATGAAGGAAGGAAGGGGAGAGAAAGAAATAGAGAGAAAGGAAAGGGTATTGAAAGAAGGAGTGAAGTAAGACAATGACAAATGGATCAAGAAATTTATATATACAACAAGATGGAAGATTATTAAACTTATCTGTAGTGCAGAGAAAACATAAAACAATAATTTAATTCCATATTCTCTCTGTTTAAACCATGGAATACGAATGCATATTCATATATAGCATTATAGAAATATGTAAATTAAAGTTACAGCCTCATATACATTACCATGAATTGAATTAACTACAACACCTCCGTTTTTATGGAGAAATATTGTGCTTCCCTAGCTAAAATCTATTTCAATACAAAGCAACAGCATTTCTGAATAAAACAAACAGAGGATAAAGTCTAACTAGGCGTTGTGGCGTGTGCCTGTAATCCAGCTAACAATGGAAGTTACAAACTCATTCATCCAAGGACGCAGGTTTGAAACTAAGTCACGTCTTTCGGATGGTGACGTTTAAAGGTCGGTCCCCAGACGTAAAATAATCATATCTGATTGATACACATCTGTAAAAAACGCAATACACACATACATCACAAGTTTGTACCTGAGGTAGGTTGAATTGGCTCCTCCTACAAAGAGTGTGTCTCCGGTAAAGCTTGCTCCAGGTGGTAGATGGAGCCGTCTGAGATGCTCCATGTTAGCCTCCAGGGCATCCAGGTTGACCCTCCACCTCAGACGTCCCTCCTCCTGGACCAGGTTGGTGAGCAAGAAGTTCCGCACTCCAACATTCTGCAAAATTGGACGTAATTGCAATTAGAGGCGTTTTGGTGTATAATGGTATGTCCCCAGGCTGTGAACCTTGAGGTGCAGGGTAATTTTGAATCTCTGCCACAGCACTAATCTACATTTGTCCATCATCACCCAGGTAGAAACTTTACCAATGGTGATGGTTATTTTACCTCACTGCTAAGAAAGCATAAATGCTTGAAAGTAAGCATACAGACGGATGACGGCTTTAGGTCCTCTCTGAGGGACCTGGTAATGAGGATTAATGCCTTACCAAAGGGCACTAGCCCATCGCCTTGGTTTTGAACCCGGGTCACTGGATTATGAGACCACTGCTCTACCGACTGAGCTATCGCAATACATAGGTACCCAGTGAAAAGAAATTCCTTGAGAGCTTGAGCTCGTTATGATGGTAGCTCGGCAAGGTCCACAGAGTTTATGAAAAGTAAAACAAATCTTACTGGAATTGCACTTTGTATCTGTGTGCCGGAATCCCTTTTAGCCTGAGTTATTAAGCTAGACATGTCAACAATGTTCTCACATTACACAACTGATCATCATTATCATCATCATCATTGTTTGGAGTCTGTTTTCCCAAACTGACAGATGTGAAAACACTTGGTCACAGACTTATTAGCCACTTCATCAAACTATTCAAATATTTAGCAAAATTGAATCTTACTGGAATTGCAGTTTGTAGCTGTGTGCCCAAATCCCTCTTAGTCTGGCTCAAAGACACAGAGTTATCGAGCTTGGCATCCCTCATGATTTGAACGTAATCAGCTGCTTGTGTGACATCATCGCTCAACTTCACAGGTATGTGGCTGACATCAACGACCACTAGCTTGTTCAGAGCTTCTGGCTAGATAGGGACAAAGCAACGATAGATGACTGTAAACATTCTGAGATTAATAGATCACCGATACCTTAGTCACACAAACAAGACAGACACCACACTGTCAACAGACCAAACAAAAATATTACATTACATCTAAGGCCCAAAATTGGTCCGGTTTAAAGATGAAGTTGAGTTCTGGTCATGCGATTGCATTGTGAAAGAAACAGTGTGGAACCGACCAAAAAAGGTTGATCATCTAGCATATAAGAATTTGTGTGTATTGCAAGGTTCTGGAATCATCAAAATGATAAGAAATTTGGCCAAGTCTTGGTAAAGTTACAAACACTGTACACAGAAAGATGTATATGGGACTACACGAACACGTGGTGTAAAAAGCCTTCCCCCCCCCCCCCGATTTTTACGATGTTACATGCATATTTAGAATATGAAGGCATTTGAAGAGCCATGCTTTTCAGGGAACATGTCTTATCTGATGTTCTTCCACATTGCATAAAAAGAATGAGTAACGCTCACAAATTATTTTTCACCTCTTCCCAGAACTCGACCTTCTCTTTAAAGTCGGTTTGGCGGTGTGACTGAGGTATCAAGACGTTTAGCTGATTGGTGATGAAACTTGAGAAATAGTTCTTCCTTCACAATCAGTAGAAAAATTACTCATTTTGGTATGCTTTCGCTTGCTGTGCTGCAAGCTTCTTCAGACCTATGTCATAGTTAGTACTGTTGCTGATGGAGAACAGAAACCCTGGACAATGTACCGGTACTCTTTCTTCAACATATGATCACATTTTACCATATTGTCCTCCTGCATCGCCAACAGCGCCAGCTATGACACAGATCTGAAGAAGCTTACTGAAACATGTAATTTTCCTTCTCAGTGTGAAGAGCTAATTTCAAATGAGAATAGTGGAGAGAAATGAGAAATGTTGGCTGTATTTACTTATTATCATGATGGGAACGTAAGTCTCATGAAAAATGGTCAGATATCTTTACATACGGTAGATAATTCACACATGCCTCACAATTCTGCGCAAAAGACGATTTGTTTTGCTGTTGTTGTTTTTTCCACAGGGGGAAGGGGGTGAATACAAAGAGGTGTAACAATATCGATCAGTGGTCAGGGCCATGGAAACCTTGATTCGATTGGCTGATGAGTTATGTTGCCAAGGTAGTTACGTGTAATACTGATGGCAAAATTTCCATCAGTATGAAGTTGTAAGGAAGTACATCAAATTTTTTCCCTTTGATTATCGTAATTCTCTCTCATATTTTCCAGCAAAGGAATCAGCTTTTTGGCAAACGTCCATGTCTTAACGACATATAAATAGTAGGATTAGTGCCCCGTAACACGTAAACTTTAATAGCAATTGATCTTACAATTGATTTTTGGTGATTGATTTCACACGGTGATCAATGCATCAGTGCAATTAATTGCGAAAATTGCTAAGCTCTGTGCTACGGAGCCCAGCTTACAATTGTATTCAAATATTCATCATACTTCTTGCAATAAAAGTTGTCTTTGACTACCAAAAGCTTGTTAGATGCTTGTCTATCAAACACAGCAACCATGAATGAATGAAAAATACAGTTGACCTACATGAGACATTGCTAGGGCCATTGCTGTGCGACCTCCCATACTGTGACCTACGAGGTCGCATCGGTCAATCATGAGGTCAAGCTCCATCAGGGTCAAGACATCGTTGGCCATCGCTTCATAGCTCATGGTAGATGAATGGCTGCTCTGGCCATGGTTACGAGCATCGATGGTCACAATCTATGATAAAGAGTTAGAACATGGAATGATTCAAGTGCACCAATCAACAAAACATGTTTTCCTCTCCATGTATGTATTGGTTCCATTCAAAATATAAGCTTTGAAAATGAATTTCATGGAAAAACAGTTGGGAAAATTCAAAAATGGTTGGGAGAATTTACTGTCAATCACTGTTAGAGGGTGTTGCACAGTGATGCCTTCAAAGAAAACCATAAATATCTTTGTGGTTTGAGAAATGAATTTTTTGCATGTTATTGTTAAAGGGCTAGTAGATTAGAAGGAATATAATAAGTAACATTTCATACAAAAATTACTCAATTTTTTCATCAACGTTCAACAATGTTACAGAGTCACTTTAATACTATAGTGTATGTACTCATTTTCACACCTCGTAATCATGATACCGGTACTAAATTTGATAATTTGACAATTATCAAATTGAATACCAGTTTGCAGTTTGTCTGAGCATCTCAAAAGATTTAAATCAACAGAGAAACAATTTGATGTTTACTCAAAGTTACAATTATTCACACTGGACATTCAAATACACAAAAGAGCTCTTGATCATTTTCAAAGGGGAGGGGCAGAAAGAAAACAACGGCAGAGAACCTCCCAGTTATTATGCAGCAAATCATTCTTAATTGCACAAAGTTGGACTTGCCCACTCAATTTAAGAATAGAACATTTACAAAATTAAAAAATCTGCAAATGACTGCATCATTTGAGTGAAATCAATGCACATTTGATTGCATATTTTATATTTGATTGCATATGTATCAGCACTGCCAACCTTGTGCAATCAAAAAAGGGAACCATGATGGCAAAAAAAGGGAATTTCAAGGGATAAAAAAGGAATTCATTAAAATCATTATGTGTAGAAATGTCCATTCCTCATGCTGTTATTTTCATATTGGGACCCAATACTTTATTTTCAAGTAGGTAGTTTTTTTTGTTGGTATTATCAGCGTTAAATTTTTTTTGAGAATATTTACGCCTTTCCCTTATTTAAACTATATAAGTAGTGATCAACATTTTTATAATAGGGCATTTGGTTTATGTGCAAAAAGGTAAAAATAATATTTAAAAAAACGTAATGGTTGGCAGCTCTGGTATCTGTTTGAGGCTGTACACCTGTACTTACTGTCCTGGAGAGCTCGAAGGCCATGCGTTTCCCCAAAGACTCCCAGTTTTTCCGAGATCCATACAGACCATGTAGGAAGAGTATTGGGTGGGACCCAGAGGCAGTCGACTGCTTTGGTTCATGAACATCGTAGGATAAACTTACAGCCCTGCAAGAGGGGAGCAGATAGCGAAGATAGCATGTACATGTATGAATTCTAGTATAAGGCAAAAAAAACACAAAAAAAAAACGTGTTTAGCGTCCTGCCTTTTTGAAAAATAGGAAGGAGGCCCTTTTTTTCTCTCATTTTTCTTCTTCAAAATGGCCGCTCACTACATTTTCCCTGACAGTCAGGCAATTTTCCAAGATGGCCACAGGGCATTCTTTCTTTTTTAAAATCAGAAATAAATAATTTTAGTAATTTTTGTTTATCTTTTTTTTTCTTTAAAAAATTTATGAATAATAATAATAATAAATAAAAAATAAAAAAAGGAGGCGGCGGCCCCCCAAAAGGAAGCGGGCGGGAACACTAAACATGTTTTTTGTTTTGTTAATGCTCTAACCTCGTACTACACATGTTCTTGAAAATATACAGCGTATACACGAGTCCTTTATTAATGATAGCATTTTGCCTCTCGAAAATGAGTGGCACCAGTCACCATCATTATATTTGACTTCCAAAATGCTGAAACATATACCAGGCATTGGAAGTGCAGTTTCTAATTAAAAGCCACAGTGTATTACTTGTAACTACTTGCTCCCTCTTTATAGAAAACTTCCCCAATCAGTACCTGTTGGTCCCCCATGATCCTCTTTTTCTTAATGTTAATTGAGAGCTGAGTTAATGAGATAGCCACCTGTCAGTGACCTCGCTGTGTGGCTAGTACAGCCAGACTTTAAAGCCCCCTTAAACTGTTGGGAGCCCCAAATTTGACAAAAATTCACTTAAATTGTATCATAATGTGAAAGACGATGACATTTAAGACACACTTCTGCAAAGATTCCCCCCCCCCCCCCCCCAGAAATGTGAAGCAGGAATGGGCACTGAGCAGAATAGGCCTGTAACCGATCTTGAGCCGATCAGGGGTGATCGCATAATAATTTCCGATCACCGATCAATAAAAATGATCGGGAAAAAAACGGCAGATTTAAAAAAAAAAATATAATGCAGAAAATTTCCAAGTTTTTGGCTATCAAATGCTTTAAAAAAATTCATAGCTGGGAACTGGGAAGCCAAAAACTTGAAATTTTTCGGCATTTAAAAAAAAAAAAAAAAAAAAAGCGCTGATACATGTACCAATCACAGGTGAGAGGACATCGCTCCGATCTTCCCATCCGATCAAAGCCGTAACTTACAGGGTTAGAGCAGAATGATTATCAATAAAATAAAATAATAAGTTATTACGATTAAATACAAGTCTTACATGTACCACCTCTTTATTTACGTACCTCTCGATATTGCAATAACTACAAATACATGTACACCGATCCCAAACACAACAATAGATATCCAGGTGTGAATCCTCCAAAATATATAAATGTTCCAAATATTACATGATCCTCAAATTGTATCATAAAATCAGCACAGGTAATTACCACAAAACTATACTTGGCTAGCACAAGCAATATCTTGGCAATGTTCTCTGACTGAATTGCAGAGAAATTAGATGTTCCAATTGAGATGAAGGAGGTTGGAATTGAGATACCGGTAAAAGAAAATTGCTCCCAGTGAATGCAGGAAACAAATCAAGATGTGTACAGATGACTTTCTCATTCAAATAAACGCATTGACTTGATGAGAAAACTTTGAGAAGTGTGCTTTCGAAGAGAGAATTGAGGATAAGAAAGAAGATGTTGTTCTGTTCCTTCTTGAGAAGCAGGATGAAGACAAAGAGAGTATTGATACCAATTCCTGGAGGTAAAGAGCTGGAGGTAAGAGCCAGTCACTGGGGATTGCAGTGTACAGGGTCATTGCAATTAAGTTGACAGTTGTTTACAAATAGGATAGGAGTGGTAGTGACTGGTATATATCAGAGGGCAGAGTCCTCCCAAATCCATTTTGCAAAATAAGAAATGAAACTGAGAAATGAAGAAGGATGAAATGAGGAAAATACTACAAATGTGTTTAAAGACAAATATTGATAAAATGATACATAATTTGGGTTTTCTGTTATAATATAAGGAAAGATAGAGAAAAAAAAATCATAGAATGATAAAAACAATGAATAACATGAGAGAAGGTGATAGAACTTTTAGAAGGAAGAAACAAGGAATAACATAAGGAAAGACAGAAAGAGAACATTATAGAATGATAAAAACAAAGAAAAACATAAGAGGAGGTGACGGAAGAAAGAAACAAATAATAGCATAATTAAGGAAAGATAGGAAGAGAAAAATAATAGAATAATAAAAACAATGAATAAAATAACACAAGGGAAGGTGACAGATTGAAAAATAACATAAGGCCTAAAATAAAAACTTGTTGTATTGCCCTTTGCGACCGACCCACAAATCTAAAAATCTACGGTCAGCATTTTAAAGTGGCACGTTCCCGCCTGTGTAGTTATCGCTGCTCTAGTCATCGCCATCTTGGTTCCGAAGATCGACTTCTAATTTGCATACAGCTGTCAATCAAAGTACGCGCGGCCTGGCCTGCCTTCGCCAAGCCAGCTGATCGCTGACGATCGCGACGTCACGAAAGTGGGCGGAAACAGCAGCCGAATCTTAGAGCCGAACTGCGATTGGCATTACTTCGGCACATGTATGCGATAATCGGTATTGTCCGGGCATTCGGAACATGCCATCTGCGTAAGAGCCGTATTCTGTTGGTGTCAATAGGCAGCTAGCACCGTCCGCCAGCGGGTACGTATTTTGAACGCTCTCTGGAATACGGGGAACATGCCTCTTTAATAAAGTTTTTTAAACCGATTTTTAGATTTTTTTTTATTAATGAATACAAAAATATGTATTTTGTTTGTTTAAATGGGATATACCGGTAAATGCATAAAATCAAATTATTACAAAATTCTCACTCGTGCAAACCATGGATGATTATGAGGTGAAAAAGATATCAATGGAATGATGTTAAAACACATGTATTAAAGCATTAAAAACTGAGAAATATCAGCCAAAAGAGGGCGGGACAAAAAAACATTCAAATCTGAAAAATATCGGCACAAAGAGGGCGACAAAAAAAAAATTTAAAAAAAATTCTTTTCCGACCGACCGACCCATGTTTTGGCACCCAAAGCAAAGGGCAATGCAACAAGTTTTTATTTTAGGCCTAAGGAAAGACAGAAAGAGAAAATAATAAAGAATAGATAATGAAAAGAGATAAGAAAAATGGAAAAACAAAGAATATCATAAGAAAACCAGAAAGAGAAAATGATAGCAGGAAAACAAAGAATATCATGACGAAAGATAGAAAGAAAAAAATGATAGAATATTAAAAGAAGAATAACATAAGAATTGAAAGAAGGAAAAACAAAGACTAACATAAGGAAAGAAAGAGACAGAGAAAATTATAAATATTAAAAAGTTGAAAGATAAAAAAGAAGATGAAAGATGGAAAAACAAAGAATAACATTAGAAAAACAGAAAGAGAAAATGATAGAATGACAAAAAAAAAGAAAATATAGCAGAAGATGAAGCACTCTATTCTGTTTGAAGTTCCTTGCAAACATTTGACCCGCTGACCTTTGCTACCCCAGCAACAGGAGCAGTCTAGGGTGTCTAGCTCCTTCAGGCTTTACGGATAAGCAACAAGAGTGGTCTAACTGTCTAACGCTCGTGAGTGTGAACATAAACGAAGCGTACCTCTGGAGAGATCCAGTGGATCCGTCTAGGAAGTGAGTGAGAATGGGGTCTAATATATTTTATTGGGAATCCATCTTTGAAAAAACCCTCAACATGCTCAACGCCCATTTGGGCTTAATTGCAGAATACCCTACCATATTGTTAGTCTTCATATATTAGCCGTAGATATAGATTGTGATTTTATTATTTGCGATAACGGTGATACAGGTATTGAAGATTGTATAATGCAAGTGTCTGAATTCATTTGGTGGATGAAAAGTTGAATTCTACGCCGTTTTGTGCGTCATTGCAGCGCTGAGTTTGGTGTGTTTGTCGCTAATTTGTGACAAATTTAGATGGCTTTCCTGATGGTATTTCATGCAAAATGTCTGTTATATTGATAAGCACTGATTCTTGTCCTTACCTTTGTCTTGATTATTGTCTGTTATAGTCATTTAATAGATGAATTACTTGAATTCTAAGCACATTCCAGTAACACAAAATGTCCAGCCCGTTCATAGTCCCACACACTTATTTGTTTGTACCTTGTGCCCTCTCTTACACTGCTAGTCTGCTTTCAAAGACCCTATTAGATATTTTAATCAACAAGTAATGTCTCGTTCTAAAAATACAAAAGAAAAATAATAGTTTTGTGCTTTTTTAATCAACAAGTGATGTCTCGTTCTAAAAATACAAAAGAAAAATAATAGTTTTGTGCTTATAATAGTGGAATGTCTCGTGCTAAAAATACAAAAGAAAAAAATTAGTTTTGTGCTTAGACTAGACTAGTATTGGTGGGTGGTCGATGGTCGTTGGTCGTTGGCCTCTTTTTTAATATTTGTGAGTCCTTGGTCGATGGTCGTTGGTCGTTGGCTTCTTTTTTAATAGTGAGTCTTTGGTCGATGGTCGTTGGCTTCTTTTTTAATATTTGTGAGTCATTGGTCGATGGTCGTTGGTCGTTGGTCGTTGGTCGTTGGCTCTTTAAAACAAATAGACCCTATGCTTCACTATTTGGTCGATGGTCGTTGGTCTCTTTTTCTAATATTTGTCAGACTGTTGGTTGATGGTCGTTGGACTCTTCCATTCAATAGTATTTGGTCGATGGTCGTTGGTTTCAATTTCTAAGATATTTGTCAGACTGTTGGTCGATGGTCGTTGGTAGTTGGCTTCTAGTTCTAGTTCTAGATCCTATATTTCTATTTTTACCAGACTGTTGGTTCTAATTCTGTAAAACCGTGGTAGGGTATTCTGCAATTGTTCCCCCATTTGCTCATAGTGAGCTGTGTTAAGCATATTCTTATATTTCTATGCGCATTACTCAGCATTATACATTTTCTACCAGATTTGTATTAAAGGCAAATGTCATTTATTTGTAATCTTGAACATTCAGTGTACGTTTTGTTGGATTCTGTGAGAATTTTTTTTCTATATTTACCAGAACTCAAGTTTATCTTTAAAAAAACAATCAAACAATGAAAGGCAATCTTTCATAATTGGCAAAGTAGACATACCGGTACACACAATCTAGGAAGAACTCTTCTATTCAAATTTTAGATGAGATGAATTAACTCACTATCTGGATTTGATAACAGGTGTTCAAGGAAAAAGACATAAAAGTGTGTATTTCTTGTGGCAACAGTTGTAACATACACTGTACAAAAAGAAATAGATTCCATTCACAACAGTTCAAATTGACATTCGATGTTCAAATCGGCAAAATGGTACAAGTTGCCGGGAGAAAATTGGGATATCTAATAAAACAAAATGAAATATAAATCACACTCTTGATATTGGTCTCTAAACTCCTTATTTATATCTATAATGACAAAAGTTTTCCATATACATCATAAAGAAACACGGTAGAAGCCATGGCGAAAATTATCCGACGATGGGAAACGCCATTTAAAACCAATAACAATTAACGCTGCATGTTAAAAATTCACCTCATTATTATTATTATTATGTAATCTCAAAGGCACACACTGCTATAAATCACACTGAGTTCAACACAAAAAAATCACATGTTGCAAACAAAGAGCATTCTGCGTACATTGGCAACAAGTGTATGCAATTAAATCTTCAAGAAACTGGGAGAATCAACATCACATGCATGGAAAACCTTCTCTTTTCTGACACATAAAATCTCTTGAATGCACATTTATTGCCCCCAAGACATTATTTTGCTTATCACACAGTCACATTCTCCAAACACATAGCATTCATTCAACAAGTATTTATGTGATGTAATCTAGATACCTAGATGTGTACCTACAAGAAACTGGGAGAGACTCAAGACAGCACAGCCATTCCCTCTCACTGCCCAGATAGAAAAGAACACAAAATGGAGTATGCTAACACTGCGCACTCTTCAGGCTTTAGCTCCCATCTCCCTGGCCCAACCAAACCATTTGTGAGATAACCCAGCTGTGACCCTGTACATGCACACAGCATACACTAGCACTGGCCTGACAGTTTTTATAGCCCATAAAAATGCCCTCTTGGCCTTTGACCCCACATTCCTGCCCCCTGAACTTTGCAGCCACAACAGGTGCATTCACACAAATACAAAATAGCAGAAGATTAAAGTTATTCTGTAAGAGCTATTCGGAAAAGTTATATGTCATAAACACACATTCCTTTTATTTATAGCCCACAAAATGTCCTCTTGGCCTTTGAATTGACATTCCTGCCCCCTGAACTTTGCAGCTGCTACGTGTGCATTCACACTAATAACAAATAGCTGAAGATTAAAGTTATTCTGCAAGAGCTATTCGGAACAGTTAGGTGATATTAACACACATTCCTCTAAAAAACAAAAGCATTTATTTTCTCCTTCAAAATGTCCCATTTTCATTGTCATATCTTATGTCTATTAAAATAATGGAAAATGGGGAACATATTTTGACTTTAATCACCTTTGCCCAGAAAAATACTGTTTTCTATTTCACCTCCCCCCCCCCCCCCCCAATAAGTGTCTTGTCTAGATGAGATAACTTTGAGATGTGCCTTGAAATAAGGATGGAAATGGTCTCTCTCTATAGGCCTGCTTTCATCATGTGGATATGTCACCGGACTGTGGATCACAAGGTTCGCGGTTCAAGTCCCACCGCGGCACTAATGTCCTTTGGCAAGACATTGATCTTCATTTGCCACTCTCCACCCAGGTGTTAAATGGGTACCCGGTAGGATGCGAAAGCTAATGTGGTTAGATTAGCACGTGTGCACTTGTAAAAAAGACGCCTGGCTGGAATGCTCCCCAGGGAGTGGAGAATGTGCATGCATTGTGTGCGGGTAAGCCTGAATCCTATGACCGGGGTAATAATATATATATCTGTAAAGAGCTTTGAAAAGCGCTATATAAGAACTAGCTATTATTATTATTATTATCAGCTCGAGATTGCCAAATATCCAGCTATCTCGAGCTGATGAAAACAGGCCTCATTTGGGAGGTAGAATGAATAAAAGAAGGAAGAAAGGGGTTGATGCTGACCTGTTAAAGGGAAAGTCCACCCCCAAAATAAGTTTGTTTCGATAGAGGCAGAATAATAAGAAAATCAGGTGAGTGAAAGTTTGAGCAAATTCTGAATGAAAATAAGAAAGTTATGAATTATTGAAGTTGTGATCAATCAAATACAAATTGGCAACTCTGTGACTTTAAATATTATACGAGCTCTCCTTCATTTGCTTTGTGCATAATATTCCATAAAATCATGTTTTCTTCGTTATTGATGACGGAATATATATTTGTTCCTTGCAGGGGGAGTATAGAAACATATTTGCAATTATTATATTTAGGGTGCATGTATGGTTGAAATTTTTCTTGAGGGAAAATGAAAATTTTAGATTTTTTTAGTACTGAGCAAATGGAAGTTGAGCTCGCATGATACGTCATAGAGTTGCCAATTTGTGTTTGATTGATCACAACTTCAAAAATCCTAACTTCCTTATTTTTAATCGGAATTTGCTCAAACTTTCACGAACTTGTTTCTCTCATTTTTCTACTCCTATTAAAACTAACTTAATTTCAGGGTGGACTTCCCCTTTAAATCTCTACATATGAGCCAATTGACAAATAAACTACCAATACTATAGCCAAGTGGTGGTCTGGCAAGGATAACAAAATGCATGCTTAAATCGATTTATAGTCAAGACAAAAAGCCCCCGTCTTGGCTCTGTATAATAAGTTTTAAACAATAGAAAGTAAACTCCCCCTTATTATTTTTGAGATTCACCATTACCATATTTGCCGGCGATAAGGCCGCAGCACCATATAGGCCGCACCCCCGATTTTGACATTTAAAAAAAAAAAATGAAAAAAAAAATGTGTAAGTCGGGATTTGATCTCTTGCGTACAAATGTTGATGTGACTAAAATCACCGCCTAAGACCGCTCGAAAAAAAAATTAAAAAAATTAATTAAAAAAAATATTTTTGACGAAGTCGGGATTCGATCTCTTGCGTTCAAATGTTGATGTGACTAAAATCAGTGCCTTAGACCGCTCGGCCATGCCACAGTGATGCTAGCATAAGGAGTTTTCTGTGATGTATACATTGCGCCTCTCTCTTGTGTATTGAAATGGATTCAAAATAGCGACTTCGCGTGCTAGATGCTTCGCGGCAGCTCTGTTAAACGGGCCTTTCTTTTACTTTTGCGTTGCATTGGCACGAACTTAAATCAAGATCTATCGGCAGATGTTGTTTTTGGAAGTTTATTTTCGTCTTCATGTCAACAATGCAAGATAAAATTGTCGGTAAGATGTGTGGAAATGTATAGTTATTGTACCGTTCGTAGATCTAGTCCCATATGTGCAAATTCGTGTTGGTTTTGACTTACTTTTTAAATTTTTTTTACTCTTTCGCCGCATAGGCCGCACCCCGATTTTTTGATATTTTCTCTTCCAAAAATACTGTGGCCTTTACGCCGGCAAATACGGTATTTTATTATGAAGATAAATTGAAGGCAAAAGTATAATTTTATTTGACAGTTCCGATCTGAACTCTAGAAAGGGTCGCAATCAAGTTTTAAGTTTTACAGTAGTCTACCATGGGTCATGAAAAACAGCAGAACAATAAAGTCATACCTCTGATCTGAATATCTTCTGACTGCTAACATAGCTTGAGAAACTATCTGATGCTTGGAATGGCAAGGGCAATGTCTGAGCGCCTTGCTCGTAAGTGAACCATTTCTGGAGAGCATTTGGACCAGCATTTTGATGATCGTTCTTCACCTGCATGAAAATAAATCAAATCCTTGATAATAATAATAGCGAGGCAGCTATACTTTATGAAGTGGATTAGGGAGAGAAGAGGTCTAGCATACATGTCTGTCAGATGGCAATGTGCGACAACTTTTAGATTGCGAAAATGGTAGCAAAATGGTACAAAACTAGTGTAAGAGGTTAAATTTTGTCTGCTTAAATCTTCAAGTTATTTTCCTCTCATCCAGCTGTTTATGCTCTTAAAAAAGACTTAGAGCCCCTCTAAATTGTTAGGAACCCCATTAAAATTGCTAATTATACGAGGAGAGGGTCGCTATTCATAGTAGAGGTGTTGCTAGTCGATAAGCCACCCGACTGCAGATCACAAGGTACAGGTTCAAGTTTGCCACGGCACTAATGTCCTTTGGCAAGACGGTAACCTACATGTACATGTACATTTGCCACTCTCCACCCAGGTGTAAATGGGTACCTGAATATAAAACACACACCAATGACACACCCAGCAATGAGCTGATCAAAATTAGTGACCAATCAGGAAGTTTCTCTACCTATGTGGTGGAGTTAGATACCAGCATAAATTACTGTTTGGTGACCTCCCGTGCATGCACCTACATGTACATGAGTAGCTCAGTGAGACTGCTGCTCAGTGAGAGGTCAATTAAGAAGCCATGTGATAAAACCATGTGCTCACCATCTGTGTGTATAGGAGCATTTACACTGTCTTCTAAACATGACAAAAAATGCCAAACCGGAGCCTGACGGCGATGTTACCAAGGGCAACTGCGCTTTACCGGCAGAAAAGCCGAGCCCGAAACATTCCGAAACGAAGTGTGATCTTTTGGCATGTTTTGGCGTGTTTGGCAAGTATGAATGCTCGCAGTTGTAACATCGTGATGTTAGGTCACATGACTAGCTAGCTAGCTGTTGTCCTTAAAGAAAATTATAGAACGATGTAAACAAAGAATAACATAAGAGAAGGTGATAGAAGGAAGAAACAAAGAATAACATAAGGAAACACAAAAGAGGAAGTGATAGAAGGAAGACACAAAGAATAACATAAGGAAACACAGAAAGAGAAAGTGATAGAAGGAAGTGATAAAGAATAACATACATGTAAGAGAAGGTTATAGAAGAAAAAACAAAGAATAACATAGGAAAAACAGAAAGAGGAAAATTTTTGCATCGGGGTGACGCGCATGCACATTTCCAACTAAAACACTCCAAAACATCACTGAGCTTTTCAAAATGAGGTATTTGACAGTATTATAAATGCACCTAATGATGAAAGTTTGTACAGTGTCTTTGGGTGCAGATGTTTGAGGTGACTAACCCTCTAACATGCAAAAAATCTAGAATTTGTTTACAAACAACAAAGATATGTATGGTTTTCTCTGACGATGTCACTGTTCCTCCCAACCATTTCTGAATTTTCCCAACCGTTTTTCAATGAAAAAAAAATCTGTCAACACTTTCATTGCTTTGTGACGATTTACATTCACCTTAAATGTAATTAAGTTTTAATAATAAAGTTGGGAGAATTGAAGAATCGATCAGATCATTTTTTTCCCCAATTGTTATCATTACCAGTAATAATGGTCTATTTCACTCAAACTTTCAGATTATCTTAAATTGTACATCTAGCATTGGAGACACTCCCTTAGCACCATTTTCTTTCATCTTAATGTTACCAAGTCCCTTTAAGATCTCTGTCCTTTCTTCAACATTTATTTATATCAAAATTAAGGCTGTGCACAACCGTGTAATGAGGTACCCGAGTACACTCCCAGGCTTACAAGCGAATACTCGAATATTCGGACGCCATGTATTTTTAAAAAAAATTCGATATTTTTTTTGTTGTTGCAATTTTACATCGAGTTGCAGTTGAAGGCGCCGATTTAATAATAATAATAATAACTAGAAATTTAATTCGTCACGAAGACGAATAAGGTGGTCTGTCTAAGTCTTATGATAGAATTGAGAATGGGAGAAGTTATATAGACATGTAAACAATGATGATCATGATGACCATGATGATGATCATGATAGTAAAGGTGATGATGATGATGATAATGATAATGTTATATGATGATAAAAACGATAATGTTAATGATGATCATGAGCATAAGCATGATCCTGACATCTGATTGAAAAAATAAGGAAATATTTAGATAGCAAATAGTCTCAGCTACAACATACTAAGATTTGGGAGAAAACTGTTGAATAACAACCGAGATACTGGTCAAAACACATTGTCATGCAGATTCATGTTTTGAAAAAAGTGACCTCCCATAGACATAACACGCAAATATGACAAATTATGCATTGTCGCCTTTAATCGAATATTTAACTATGATGACGTCATCTAAATAAAAATAAATGACATATGTCTGATAGAGAATTATCTCAGCTACAACATATCGAAATCTGGGAGAAAATCGATCACTGATAAGCGAGATAATCTCAATTAAACAAAGACAAAAATGACGTCATCAACAAAATACATTTTCTTTAGTTTAGATGCAAATATGAAGATTTTGTTTCACTTTGTACGAGTCAGGATGGTATGAAATCATATCTCCAACTCATGCTCTTTCCAACCATGATATAAAAATTGGGAGTCGACGGACTATCTGAAGAGCTATTTCGATTTATAAAGTAGCATGTTTTTGATCAAATTTACATTATATTGCCCATAGCAGCACGCACGGAATTTGAACTTTGACGCGCGCTCACGGCCTTATGAAAGGTTAAGAGTGACTGAAATTAATGTAAATTGTCATTTACGGTAAGAGGAATCTAAATCATGTAAACAAATTGAATTTGACCTTTTCCGCGCGTTGTGAGCGCGCGCACTGCGCGCGGGGACAAGTACGGACGGAAATTTTTGAAATGCTTCAAATAACCTGATTCGTACTCTCGTTTAATAGTTAAGTGATTTTGAGCATTTTAAAATTTTGACGCGCGCGTACGTGCTCGTCATGACCTTTATGTGACCTTTGATGACATGACTTGTTGACCCTTGACCTGAAGTATATGTGATATGAATATGAATGACCTTTGCTTATGCATCATGAAGATATGATGGATAACGTGATTTCACAAAATGGCGCCTGGATGACGTCACGATGACCTGATGACCTTGAAAAGGTTACTGTCACGTCTCATGACAATGACCTATGACTGTGTCGAAATTGAAAGAAATTAACACAACCGATCTTGAGTTAACCGATAAACAAAAAACGGGAAGAAATAAAAACTAGAAATTTAATTCGTCACGAAGACGAATAAGGTGGTCTGTCTTCAAGTCTTATAATAGATAATAATATTTACTATATTGAAAAAGGGAGAAGTTATATAGACATGTAAACAATGATGATTATGATGATGATGATCTTGGTAGTAGTGATTATGATGATGATGATCATGATGATGTTGATGAGGATGATTATCATCATTATGATAATGATCATGATCATGATCATGAGCGTGATTCTGACATCTTATCGGAGAAATGAGGGGTGATTTAGATGACATATAGTCTCAGCGACAACATACTAAAATTTGGGAGAAAAATGTTGAATAACAATCGAGATACTGGTCAATACACATTGTCATGCAGATTCATGTTTTGAAAAAAGTGACCTCCCATAGACATAACACGCAAATATAACAAATTATGCATTGTCGTCTTTAATCGAATATTTAACTATGATGACGTCATCTAAATGAAAAATAAATGGTATATTTCTGATAGAAAATTATCTCAGCTACAACATATCAAAATCTGGGAGAAAATTGATCACTAATACAGTAAGTGAGATAATCTCAATTAAACAAAGACAAAAATGACGTCATCAACAAAATACATTTGTTTGAGTTTAGATGCCAATATGATGACTTTATTTCACTTTGTACGAGTCAGGGTGGTATGAAATCATATCTCCAACTCATGCTTTTTCCAACCATGATATAAAAATTGGGGGTCAATGGACTATCTGAAGAGCTATTTCGATTTTTAAAATGGCATGTTTTTGATCAAATTTACATTATATTGCCCATAGCAGCATGGCGGAATTTGAACTTTGACGCGCGCTCACGGCCTTATGAAAGGTCAATAGTGACTGAAATTAATGTAAATTGTCATTTACGGTAAGAGGAATCTAAATCATGTAAACAAATTGAATTTGACATTTTCCGCGCGTTGTGAGCGCGCGCACCGCGCGCGGGGACAAGTACGGACGGAAAATTTTGAAATGCTTCAAATGACCCGATTCGTACTCTCCTTTAGTAGTTAAGTGATTTTGAGCAATTTTAAATTTTGACGCGCACGTACGTGCACGTCATGACCTTTATTGTGACCTTTGATGACATGACTTGTTGACCCTTGACCTGAAGTATATGTGATATTAATATGAATGACCTTTGATAACGCATCATGAAGATATGATGGATAACGTGATTTCACAAAATGGCGCCTGGATGACGTCACGATGACCTGATGACCTTGAAAAGGTTACTGTCACGTCTCATGACAATAACCTATGACTGTGTCAAAATTGAAAGAAATTAACACAACCGATCTTGAGTTAACCGATGAACAAAAAACGGGGAGAAATAAAAATAAATAATAATAATAATAATAATAAAGAAAGAAAATTCTGACGAAAACAATAGGTGATCTGTCGTTGACAGACCACCTAATAATAATAAACTAGACATTTAATTCGTCACGAAGACGAATAAGGTGGTCTGTCTAAGTCTTATGATACAATTGAGAATGGGAGAAGTTATATAGACATGTAAACAATGATGATCATGATGACCATGATGATGATCATGATAGTAAAGGTGATGATGATGATAATGATAATGTTATATGATGATAAAAACGATAATGTTAATGATGATGATGAGCACAAGCATGATCCTGACATCTGATTGAAAAAATAAGGAAAAATTTAAAGAGGAAATAGTCTCTGCTACAACATACTAAAATTTGGGAGAAAACT